GTGTTGCTTGCGATTTTGTTTTTCACTCTGATAATTCTTTGCTCGCTTCGCACTTTTATATTTAATCGTTTTATAGTACGTGTTTTGAGTACACGTTAATCATTACATAGAAAAAAGTTTGATATTAACAGCTTAACAATATTTAATAAGATATAACTTTTTATATAATAACATAATCGTTATAACAAGTATAAAATTTCTTATAGTATTCATCTTATTATTAATACAATATTAAATCTTTGGTGTCACTCCTAGTATGGTGTACTTGAGGCTTTTTTTACTTTGTTATATTATTTTGGTATACTTCTTATTAATAAAAGTACATATATTTGCTTGTTATATTCCTTAATATCTGGTATTTTAATTAAAAAAACAATTATTATATATTTCATTTTATGAGATATTTTTACACAATTTTCATATGGTAGATACATGAAATGTATAAAATATATATAAAATATTACAGTGGCACTAAAGAGAGAGAGGATTAAGTATTATATTAAATTTAATATACTTTTATAAATATATATATCATATGTATAATATATGAGAAATTTTTAAATCAAAGAAAAATCCATGGTACGATTACAAATTGTAAAATACATATTGCACATTAACTACAGCGGATAGATCGGAATATATGACGCAATAAATTTGGAATACAAGTATATTGCATCGGAAATTGTAATATGTATAAACATCCTGCTGGACGATATTGACTTGGCCTTGTAGCTTCAATTATTTGTAGAAGCATGTTTATCAATTGGACGCCATGCAGAAACAGTCAAATTGCATTCTCATCTTCCAACTCCCACTCAGTTTTACTTTAATAAATCATATTCGATGCGATCGTATATATATATATATATATATAGGTACATGTATTTTTAACTATTTTATTCTTACATTTTTATTAATAAAAATAAATTTTTTTAATTATATAAATAATTATTAAAACTTATTTATCTCTCTCTTTCGGAGTTATTAATTACTTATTAGTTTTTCTATCTTACGAAACTTGTGTATAAATTTTTACAAGATTGATCAAAAACTGTGAAGTTACATGAAATAACAACTCTCTATCAAAATTTGTCAAAGGAATAATTTAAAGATTATTACAAAATATAACTTTATTATTTTATAACACTGTATTACTTCTAATGTATTTTTCGCTTTGTATTTTTCGCAAAAAAAATCTACTCGAATATATAAAGGTAAGGATAGGCAGAGGCGTCAAGAATAATTTTTGTCGCAGCATGTTCATTGTGTACTGAAGGCAAACAACATTCTTGTCGATTCCGTAATTGATTTTCACTGACAAAAATACGTTTTCTGTCACATTAGAAAAATCCAAACGGCGGAATGGATAAGCGCCAAACGGCACAACGTCGCCAATAAACACATTTTTCAAACCGTCGAAAAAGAAGCGATTCTTTTTTCTCTCTTTTCGTCGCGATGAATTCACCGGTTGCGTCTTGGCATTCAACGACTTGCGATGTAATCCGTCATCGATTACAGATAAAGTGATGCAATGAATATCTAACAAGGCTAGTATTCGCCGACTTTACGGTAGCGACTCTTATGAATAGTAAAAGGTGTGCTTTTATATGGACGATAGTCAATAGTGACGCGTGACTGTTCTCGAAGAAAGAATCATACCATATATTGTACTTAAGAATCGTTCACACATTATGATAAAATCATAATTCACATCTATGATAAAATACCGTTTAAAATCGAGATTCAATTTTTTTCCTTTTTGTTAAGCATTCTTTTTAAGCCTGCTCGTACGATATTTAATCTTCCACCTGTCATATAAAATTTTCGGTTGTAATCTGTAACCTGGGTCTTTGTGTTTCTCTCTCACAACAGATTTTTTTTATTGTTTCGGACTGTACAAAAATCTGAAAAAATTCTTATATACTTGTGGAACCTTTAACAATAAGTTTTTATTACAATAGAAACCAGATTGTATTTTACTTTTTTTACAAATTTAAATGAAAGAGTTTTGAAAAAATCGGTAAAAATTTATAACTTTTATATGAGTGAATAAAAAAATCCTTTTAGACTACAATATTAAAAGTCTATAAGAAACACCTTGTCTTGTTTAAAGTATCTTTTTGTTGTAAACTAAAATATTATTATCATCAATCATTCTATTAAATTACATACTTGTTTATTATTTCGATATACTATATAAATAGCAGAGCAGTTCCGGTAAATTTTATAGTCGCAACGACGCCAGGAAGTTAACTTTGTACCGGAAGTTTATTCGGACTAAAAGAAGCTCTTCCGGACTGAAAGGAAGATTATACCGAATACATCGGTCCTTCGAGTATTAGCGTAATAATACATGGCGCGCGGCGGTGACTTCCGGCACGGCAAAGCGTCCCGTTTGCATTAACGGTGATAATAAATTCGGAGCGGGATTTTATGCAAGGCCTTGCACGTGAATTCCAACGAATTTTCATCCATTATACCTGTCAGCCGCGGTCACGCTTATCTACTTAAATGGATATCCATTAAATGTGATTTCTTTCAACTTCTTGGATATAAATCGCAATTAAATCTGCATTCTTATATTTTTGTTGAGCTCACGATAAACTTTGTTATTTATATAAGAGAGAGTAGTTGTCAGTTAATATCTTCTTAATACCAAATAAGAGCAAGAATAACTCCGTAATAAATCTCGAAAGTCAAGTTGTAAATCAGATGCTTTTTTAATTTTTAAATTTATAACATAGTTTAAAAAGTAAAGGCAAATTATAAAATAAATCTAACAAGGAAAAATTATAATCTTTGATAATTTTTTTTTGAAAAAACATTATTGCGGCAAAAAGTGATTTAAATTGTTTAACTTCGTTATTTTAATTAAATTAATGATATATTGAGTAGGAGTAGTGATTTATAGAAATAATTAAAAATAACTCAAATTGAATATAACTTGACATTATGGGTTATATTAAGTGTAATTGTACTTCGCTGTTTTATCGAATCGTTATTTCATAATGGAAGCGTAGGAGAGTACGTAGGTGGCAGATCGAGATTTATGTAGCATAATCACAGTTTTGTTTTAATCACTTGCTTATTTATTCGTGCGTGATAAGCGTCCAGCAGACGATCTGTGAAACTCATTGATTCAGAAAACATCGCGACAATCGCATGCTTTAACAATCAACTGATCTGGTGATTAGCAGGCACATCTCTTATTGATCTGTTAGTGGAAAACGCAATTGGTTTATGTTAATAACGAATAGCACGGGGTTTTAGAAGTGCGTATAAAACAGCATTAAAGTAAAATGAGATTTTAATGAAAATAGGGTTTATAATGAAATAGAAGAAAATATTTTTTTTAATATCTTTATAAACCGTTTTTATGTATAAATTATTAAAAATTATCATGATTAATATGAAAAATTATTATGAAAAATTGTTAGGATCTGCTATTACTTGCATTTATCATATATTAACTAAATCTATGTTTAAAAATACTTTAATTTTAAGTCTGAATTTATTATACTATTATTGATATAATTTTCACTCGTATCTTTTTTTTGTGTAAAATTTTTTTATTTTAATATATAATTAGAAAAGAAAAATTATGTGAATAATTGTGATGTATGTAATGTGTTCCTCACTCTCTATGTTTTTGTATGATATTTTATTCTTATTACTACAATTATTCATGTTATATTTCATATTATATCGTTATTTCATATTATACTTATTATTATAATTTTTAAGAGAAAGTTTGAAGTTAAAATGCAGAAAAAAAGAAATAAAAATCATACAGCATGCGGTTTATGTGAAGGCGGAGATTTATGTAGGG